AGATCCTGGGTTTACAATGGGGCGGGGCTACCCCAGCTCCCAGGCTTGGCTCATCCCCAGCGGACCCCGCCGGCCCCTACCTGTGCTTGCGACCCCCCACAACCGTTCCTGTCCTCACGGCTCCAGCCACCTTCCTGCGGCCACAGCCTCCACGCACCTCCCGGCAGCGCTTTGCATCCTGGGAAATGTAGTTCCTTCCCCTCCAGAACCTGGGCTGGAGAGCGAGAGAGAACTACAGCTCCCAGGAGGCCTTTCACCAGTCCGCCTAGATGCCCCCCCACCTATTCCCCAGGTGCACTCTGGGGATTGTAGTTCTGTCAGCAACCTTCTGCTCCATTGACCCCACTGGGGCAGCATAGGAACAATCCATCCCAGGCTGGCCTGGCTCGCCCCCTGCACCCTGGGTGTCTCTGGGGAAAGGATGGAGCCATGCCTGGTTGTTGACCCCATAAGAACGGCCCTCCTGGGTCAGACCAAAGGGCCATCTAGCCCAGTATCCTGTTTTACGCCATCCAATGCCAGGTGCCCCAGAGGGAACGAACAGAACAGGTGATCATCAAGTGATCCCCCTTGGTAACAGCCTCCCCCAGGGCACCGTGTCAGGATGAATTGGACCCTCTGTCTAGAGTTGGGTTTAATTTTTCCTATAAAACTTTTTTTGTGGGGGAGGGGGCAAAAATACTGATTAGTCAACACCGGAACATTTCATGCATTAATGCCAGCTTTGCCGAATTGTTTATGATGGGGGGAAATCTTCAACAAAATCCAGAAAAAATCAAAATGTTTAATTTTGGTGTTTTCTGAACAAAGCATTGTGAGGGCTTGGGGTTTTTTTCTGGTTGTTTTTCTTTAACTTGTTGTATCGAAATGTCCTTTAATTGTATTTTTAAACCAACCAGAAACATTCAAACATGCTCAAAATTGAAATTTTTCCTTTTGGGTCAAAGGAAACATTTTGTTCGACCCCAAATGATTTTTTAAAAACTTTCTGATTCACTGAAAAATTTCAAAAAAATTCCGTTTGGTTTGTATTTTTTTTTTTTTTTTTTTTGCCCATGATTTTTCGGAAATTGCCAGTGACCTGAAAAATGCATGATGCGCCCAGCTCTCCCTCGGATGCTGAGGGCAGAATGTAGCAGACTACACATACTTTGCATGGCCTGGGCATAAAAAATAACCACGAGGGGTGATAGCCAAAGAGGGCCTAAGAGGTGCCCTGGTCCTGCTATCCTGTCTGAGCTGTAGTCTAACATCTCCCCACTAGGAGGAGCCATAGCCCACACGTTTTACTTAAAGTCACAACTCGCCCAAGCTTTAGAGGTGCTCTCCAGGACACGGGCCCATCTAAGAGTGATGGTGGGTTTAGCTAAATGGATCAGAACCTGGCGCCACGTTGCTGCTTTGCAGCCCTGCTCCCGGGCTAAACCGGGTGATGCATCTGTCTGAAATTAAAAGCTATTTTAGTTTTTGCTGCTAAAGGATCTGCCCGTTTCTGCAAAGTTCAGACTAGCTCCACTGAAGGCATCAGAGCCAATGGCCCTGATTCCCATTTACCATCCAGTCCATACCCTCAGAGGTATTTAGGCGCCTAGCTCCCATTGAAATCAATGGGCCTCTGGCCTCTTTAAACCTCTCGGAGAACGCAAAGGGAAAGGGCCTATGTGTAACTGAAGATGATGCTGTGTCTGACGTGTTGAGGATCTAGCCTAGGCAATCCAGATCCAGCAACCCACAAAGTCCAGGGAACTTCCAGTTCGGCTCCCAGTTCTGCAGCTCCACCTCGGTAAGAGGGTGAACCAGACAGCTCAGTTTCCCTGAAATCTGGATCCGAGCTCTGCATCACAGGCCCATTTCAGGGCAAGGGCGGCGCCGGGTGCCAGATTCGGGGAGGGTGCTCGTTTGCAAGGAGCATCCCCCTGCCCAATACAGAGTTCCCTGCGCACGCTGATTGTCTTCGCTTGCCTACAAACCCCCAGCCACCACCAGCCCTTGACGCTCTCAGGCTGGGTGGCAATTGACGAGGGCCATCTGCCTCCTGGATCGGGTCCTCCTGATGGTTCTTGGCCAGGCGCCTTTGGACTCAGTCCTAGGGGAACTGACTGATGGGACGCAAAGACCAGGAATGCAACACCTCCCGCCTCTCAGCCAAAGACTCTAATCTATGAGCTAGCTCAGGTCCAGGGCAGCTGGCGTCCTCTGGCATATCTCACAGGGCCTTGTGGGCAGGTCAGTCCCCTGACCCAGGGGCAGGAGGGGAAAGTAACATGAGTCTGATATCAGGTGTGTGCCAGAGGACCAGTCCCATCGGCGCTCCCTCTCCCTCCCCTTGTTCTTCATTACTTGTGATGAATTAATCAGCTCGCCCTCTGCCACCCACAGGTGAGTGCATGTTACAGGTCCCCCTCTGGGCCTAACCTGCAGCTGAGGTGCGCCTGTTACAGCCCCTGCTAGTGCCCTCTGGCTGTTTGTGCTTTTAGCTTTGGCGATTCCCTGGTTCACTCCCAGCTGTGCCACTGCAGAGACAAGACAAGGTGCGGACCGGTAGCGAATCGCAGAGCAGCGTCTGTTGCTGGCTTGCAGGCAGCCTTGCGATGACTGGTCTCTTTCACTCCCTGCAGCTCCCTGCCATTCCCCTACTTCACACCCCCCACACGTGGCTGGGCCATGTGGAAATCAGCTGTGTGCTGGCTGCAACTGTGGTCCAGGAATAAAAGGGCCTTGTTGGGCAAGGAAGAAATAGGCGTCTGTCACTGGGCCACGGGGCACTGACAGACTAGTGGAAAATCGGGCGTGTTCCTGGAGTCGTCTGAGTTAGGGTTGGATGTTCCTGTCACGGAGTGTGGGGGAGTCAGGGCCCAGCACCCACTTTTTCCTGTGATTCACATTGACTCTCAGCCAGCCAGTAAAACAGAAGGTTTATTAGACGACAGGAACACCGTCCAAAACAGAGCTTGTAGGTACAAACAGGACCCCTCAGTCAGGTCCCTCTGGGGGGCAGGGAGCTTAGACCCCAGCCTTGGGGCTCCCTCCGTTTCCCCATCCAGCTCCAAACTAAAACTCTCCAGCCCCTTCTCTGGCCTTTGTCTCTTTCCCAGGCCAGGAGGCCACCTGATCTCTTTGTTCTCCAACATCTTCAGTTGGCACCTTTGCAGGGGAGGGGCCCAGGCCATCAGTTGCCAGGAGACAGGGTGTTGGCCATTCTCTGTGCAGACAGCATCACACTGGCCCTCTCGGGCTCTGCCACAGTCACACACCCTTATCCCACCACCTAGATACTTAAGAAATGCATTGGGGAAACTGAGGCACCCATACGGTATTCAGAGAAAACATTAAGAACATTCCCACTTCGTCACAGTTCCATGTGATCCAATCTAGCTCATCCCTATCAGGTACCAGCCAGGAGCCTTCCCCATACTCTATTCCACTAATGCATTTTTCAGTCTGATTTTAATTCCTTCCCACTCTCTGACCCCCTGTGTGGGGCCCACCTCTCTCTTTAATAGCGTTTTTCATCTGGAGATCTCAAAGGGATTTTCCAAGGAGGGCCGTGTCGTTATCCCTGTTTTACACATAGGGAAACTGAGGCGCAGGGCGGTGACGTGACGAAGGTCGCCCAGCAGGCCAGTGTCAGAGCCAGGAAGAGCCCGCAGGTCTCCTGGATTGCCGGCCAGTGCGCTATCCCCTAGGCCAGGTCTGAGCAGGTGGCAGGGTGGATTCTTCAGTCCTTCCCGCACAGAGTGAACTCCGGTGGGCAGTCAGGAGCAGCCTCGTTCAGCAAGGTGTTAATGATCCCCAGGAGGGCTGACCAATGGAGTTGCGCCCGGGGGGGGTCGGGGGGAGGGAGAATGGGCTGATCAGTGGGCTTTGGCCTCCCCACGCCTGCAGGAGGGTCCAGGGCGCATTCACGGCTCTCCTCGGAAGCCCCTGTGTGAAGGAATGTGTCCACCTGACAGCCAGACCTCAGCCTTGCAGTCAGCGGATGACGGACATTTTCTGGTCAAGGGAGTCAAGACAAGAAGGTGACAGAAGACGAGAAAAGGAAGAGGGAAGGGAGGATGTGTGCGCGTGGGATTGCCAGTGGCTGTGCGTGAGTGTCTCTTGGCAGATCCTGGCACAAAGGGGTGTGCGCCCACCTCTGCCCTCTGTCCTGGATGAGTTTGTGCACAAGTATACACAGGCGTGTGCGAGTGTCCCTGGGCGTGCACACAGCATGGCCATCCTCGAGCACGCCAGTGTGCGAATGTGCCCTTTGCACATGCCTGTGCATTTGCACGTGCCTGTGCACTGAGCAGGCTGGTGAGGGTGCACACGTTGGCCCTCTGCCTGCAGGGGCGTGGTTTTATGGCTGTGCAGGTTACAGCATTGGTGTTTACGGAGGTATCTGCACTAGCATGCTTGGGAGGGGTAGGGGGGTGCACCGAGTGTGTAAGTCAGGAACCGGTTCGCCCCCCCAGCCCCATTGCCTTTGCGGCAGGCCGACCAGCTCGGCGATGGGGGCGGGGAGCAGGACCTTCGGAAGCCCCTCGACCTCTGCTGGGAGTGGGGCCTTTTCATCCAGGCCCCTAAATGGAAAGGCCTTTTCCACACTTGCATTGTAACCGCCCGGGCTCCCTACTGCCCCTGCCATTCAATGCCCCGGAGGGGTCCAGGCAGCCTCAAACAGGCCCATTCTTCCCCTGGATTAAGGGCCAGTATTAGCAGGCAGTGGCGTGTGAGCCCGTCCCGCCCCGCTCTTGTTTGGGCTGCGTGGCCACCGGCTGGGAGCACAAAGCCCCAGCAGGGCAGGGGCCGGGTCTTTTACTAAGTGACTTTGGGATTAAGGGGTGAGTTAAAAGGCCCTTTAGGGAGAAAGCTGCCCAGGCCGCCCTGTGGGCAAACAAAGGGTCCCGGGGAGTGTCTGGCGGGGCAGGGGGCTCCCCGCGCCGGATTGGGCATGGACCAGGCCAGTCGGCTCTCCTCTCTCCCTTCTGGGACGGATGGAACCGCTGGGCCTCACCTCCCCCGCCCTCGACCCTAGGCGCCATATTGGACCCCTGAGCCCTCCCCAACCTGTTGCATCAGATGGGACCAGCCATCCCCCCGCCCCCATGCACACAACCCACTGCACTGGATTGGACCAATGCACCCCCCCCCAATCTATTGCATTGGATAAGACGAACAAGCCCGTGCAACCCACTGCACTAGATCAGACCAATGAGCCCCTCCCCCAGCACA